AGGGAGGGGGATTTTTAATTAACATGAACGAAAAAAAATTACATGAAGCAAAATAACTATTATTGATTACTGCGGATTAATTTTGGTTTCATTTAAAGATTCCTAATAAAAATTGGCGAAGAAAGTACACGTCGCTGAAATGTGAAAAAGTAAAGTAAAAAGTGACACCTTGTTTCATTCAGGCCTGTGAACAGGAAATGTTGCTGCGCATAATTACAGGTACAAAGCTACCAATTGAGGTGTAAAAATCAAAGTCACTACTCACAGCTAGTCCTGCATGGTGTCTGCATGAAACACTGAAAGCCCAACTCCGGGCACAAAGAACTTACTTGTGTTGAAGCCTCTCCTATGATGAACGCTATCGTAATCCTGCAAATCTGGTTTTATTGCTCGCTCTGTATTTCTGTGCCCACTCAGTTGTGACCGTAGCGCTGGGGTCTACGACACTTACATCCAAGCGGGAGTACAGTGGAAGCTGTACTTCTACCCTCATACAAACAAGATTTGCTGGATTTAAAAGATAGTGTTCATCACTGGGAGTGGTTTATCACTGGGAGTGGTTTATCACTGGGAGTGGTTTAGAGGTGTAAGAAAAACTGCTAAAACACAAGTTCATTGTGCCCAGATGTGGCCTCTTGATAATTCTCCCCCAGTAGGTCAGGAACCTGAATAGACATATTAAAGTGGAATCCAAGTCAAAGCTTTTTTTCTACTTGTGGGTGTAGAGAATGGTTACAACTTGTCAAGTCTTTCCTGCTCTCCATGAGCCCATTTTTTGAGTACTCACTCACTTTCTGTTCATGTGACCACCATTAAAGTTATCATTGGAAATGGTGCCTCCATTAAGACACCCCCTTACTGTTCCAGTAACAACTGGGGAGATTTCTTCTCCTTTTGTGTCTGGCACAAAACGCAGTGGGGAAAAAAATCATCAAAGGAGATAGACAACTGACAGAGGTTCTAACCCATCCCTGCTTAAGGCAGAAGATGATCAGTAAAGGAATTTGTTTTCCCGTTGGCAATACATGGCACTGCACAGCATTGTAAATTCTAGATTGTGTCAAATTTGGCAAACATCCATGTGTGTCACTTATACCTGCTACCTCATCAAGATATTGATAACTTCCAAAGGAAATTTTAAGGTCACACCATGTAACTCCATATGGTATCCTGCAACGAATAACATTAATGATATTTGGAATAGGCTCGCCATATAGCTTTGCTTGGAGTCACAATTCACATGTACAGGCATACCCTAATTCAGTTACTAAAAGCCCTAATAGAACAAATGACTTTACAATAAACCATGTGACATCTTCATGTAGATACTGAACAGACAGATTCAGATTAAAGAGAAGAAACATTTGCTATTTCGGCGCTATGAGGCGCCATAATACCATCAACAAAAATCAGGATGTTTTCTTCGTTAACATTTGAGTAACAGCACTTACTGAACAGCTATAGGTAGAAAGATGGCTGGAGATACTAACCTGCTCCCATATAATTTCAGCAATCTGATCTATTAAGGTTCCCAGATCCCGGAACTCTCCCGAGTACTTCACATAAGCCCAGGTGCAGAAGGACAGTAGTGCTAATCCCATGATCAGGTTACAAATGTTTGCTATAGAGTTCAGGCCAATGAAACCAGTCAGTCCTGAGATAATGTACATGGCAAACATGACAGCAAACAAAGTGGCAGGGGTGCGAGCAGCATAGAAGATGTTTTTGCCGTCGTTGTGTTTCATGAAGTTTGCATAGGATTCGTCCAATTCCACCTCCAGCTGTTCCTGGTACCGGTGACAGAACTCCTCTCCTCCCATCTTCTTCACCGAGCGGAACTGTTTTATGCACACGTCCTTAGCGTCCAAGTGCTTCCTCTCTAGGTCCGCAGGAGCGATATATGGCTTGTCTCCACCACAGACCTGTTGGAAAGCACACCATTTACCTTCTTGAGCACACAGCGGTATGTTTTGTAACAGGTTAAAGAAGTGCACTTTTTTTTTAGGTGAAATGTACCGAAACAATCTCACTTTTATCCTCTGAAGATCTATACGTACCGAGATCCAAGGGCTGCTGCTCTGCTGTTTGATGACAGCAAGTGCCAGGAGACAGCCCCCCTAGAAATCTATGGGGCTGTAATGTGCAGGTGCGGCCAGCAGAGGGAGAATTGCAGTGCTGCATGTAAACATTAGCAGAACTGTGCCTGTCAGATCTCGGTACAGAGGGTGGGATTGTTTAAGTCATGTGCGGCAAGCAGGATAAGTGCACTGGTTTTAGAATTACAATGTCAATTTTATAAATCTGCAGAAACAGTAGTGGTTCCAAGTATAATCTCATCAGTCAGCAAGAAACTAGGATGCAGGGTGGTTAGAGCAGGGCTGGACAAATCCCAGGAGCCAGGTCCCCAATGTGCTGCAAAAAGTACAGCCG